TGACTGCATTCACCACCAAGGACTGCCATCCGTCGCAAGTGCGAATGTTCCCGCTGAAATCGGAAAGTTCCTCCACCGGATTGGTCGAGTTCTCAAGCAACCCTGGCGAACGCCATCATGAAGTGCAACCACAGCGCGGTCGATCCCGAAATACCCGTTCATTATGAAGTTGTGCTTCTCCTCCTCCTCCAAGAAGATCAATGGTGCGTGGAGCAACGAGAACATCGAAAACACGTTAGCTTTGAAAGAGCGGAAGTTTGTTTTTCTGAGAAAAGAAAGGATTTTTCTTTTTCTGTGTAGTTAATTTTATGATTCGTAATTATAGGTAATTTCTTATTGTGTTAGTTGGAAGTGCAAAAAGTCAAGAGAGTAAAAATAATTTGTTGAACTAGGTATTTGAGATTTTGCCAAGACGGTCCTCCAACATTATACGTTGAACGATGGAATGGTTGGTGTAGCAGCCACCGCCATGGTTGTATTCGAGCAGTTCGAATGGTCGAATGGTATAGTTTTTGTTTGATTGTTGACTTTCCGATTAAATCTCAAGCACCGCTTGTCGAGACCGGACCGAGATTTCCAGCGTCAACCACGGCTACACGAATAAGCGATACAACTACTCCGGCTGCTTCCAGGGTGGCCAGACCTACCGATTTTAGGGATGCCTACCGATTTACAGACGAAAGGTTCAAAACTACCGATTTTTCACTTTTCCTACCGATAATCACAGATTTTTAGTAATCTTGAAAAATGTTCAATACCTGTGTTTTTTTTTTCGTGTAGTCAGAATTGGAATTAGAAATATTGATTTCGACACGTTTAAAGCAGAAGAACTGAAGGACAACGTATTGTCCTGGAGCAGAGTCACCCCCCCCCCCCACTCTTAAAGGTTTCAAGTATCGGGAAAGCCTTCTTAAGACGACCTACCGATAAAAGTTTTGAGAAGCTACCGATAATGAAAAAAATAATCTGGCCACTCTGGCTGCTTCCAATACTGCGGCTGCTGCTGATCCTTCTGCTGATCCGTCTCCTCTAAAATTCGTTAAAAAAGACGGACCAGCAGCAGGATTGGAAGCAGCCGCACCCGTGGGAGCTACATCGCTAGTTCGTGTAGCCATGGCCGGAAACCTCGGTCAGGTCAAGATACCGCTGTCAGCTGTTCTTCGTCTGGGAGGAAATGTGGATGCGACTGCCGTCACGGGTGTAACGATTTTGAGAATCCATGGCAAGACTTGGTAGAGATTAAAGTGCGTGTAATAGTAATGACGCTTATCTATAAAACTACATGATGTAATAATTTGTTCAAGTTTGAGGGGAATATAGGGTGAAATGGGGTTTTACAGTGGTCGCAACATGGCGAATTTCGCAGCATTTGATTCCTTGGATTTAAGTTAAGTGCATAAAATTCAATATTTTGTCCGTCAAATTCTGCTTTCCGAGTGTTTAATCTTGTTTTTATAGGCCAAGGGGACATTGGGTAAAATGGACCACTTATTGACGTAATTATATTTTTCTTCCAAAATTAGAGATAAATCGGGCAAAACGGACCACGAGACTTGGTAGAGATTAACGGTTGTTTTGAAAATAATTTGATTATATTGTGGCAACATCAATAACAAATTTTGACACATGCACACTGCGCAAGCGCTGAAAAAGTTCAGTGTTGCCAGTAACTTTAAAGATTATAAAAATTGTAACCATGGGTGCCAAACAACACCAATGACTTCACCCGGGTGTGCCCAAGTTTGATTTTGGCACACTGTGTAGAGTGACCAACCCCTTGTTCTTTCCTTATATTATGAGCTTTTCTTCGACAGATTTTTTTGATTTCAATTGAAATACTCATATTTTTTTCTTTTGGTGTTGATTCCTTCTTTGAATTATGAGCTGCTATTGGATAGATAAAATTGTTTGAAAAATGCAATTAAAATGCTCACAATTTTCTCATAGTCATAGACCACCACCAATCAATTCTCCGATTTTTTTCAGGACTCCTACCTATCTTGCAGGACTCCTACCGTGCGCCGTCTTATTAAGTGGGATTTTGGGTCGATTTTTCGATTTTTCCTGCGTTGGGTCGAAGCTCTCGTTCTTTTTTTGGCAACAATAACGAGTGCAAGTGAGAGGCTCAAGTGAAAATAACTCAAAATTTGAGTGATATTTTTTTTTCCGTACAACCAACGATTAATTGTTTGCTGCACAAAACTCAGGTAGTCATGACATATTCTACCGCAGTAGGTCTCTTTTGACGTAGGACTACGTCTGTGATTTCTATACGAGGGTACATTTTGTGAAAACAGAAAATGGAACATGTAACAAAATTATGAAAGATTTTGAACATTAACAACTCAGCTGCCCCTAGACCAATTTCAATAATGTTATCACCAATCGATCAGAAATATTTCTACGCATCTGGTGAATTTAAGACTTCATCATTTTTCAAAACGTCACTATTGAAAATTGCACAAAGGTCCAACTGTTGCTATGACAGTTAAAATTATCACCGATTGCTGGCGAAAAGCGATTTCCCTAACACAGCTTTCAAAGATGAATTCCATCCGGTCTCACCAAATGTTGTTTATTCAATCACCGCGTGGTAAGTGGTGGTGTTCTCCAGTACACAACTAAAGGCTGATTGGATTCAGTTCCAATCACTGTGTGTGGTGGTGTCCGGTCGCCGCCATCAGTAGAAGCGGCAGCAGCAGTGCTTTTGGCGCGTGGCGTTGAACATTTTTCTCCAGTACACAACGAAAGCTGCAGTCCACATGAGCATCCATAGATGGAGGAAGAAGCCACACCGCTATTGATCGGAATCAGTAACTCTTCGTGAGTCTCTGTGGGCCATCTATGCCAAGCGCGCCATAGAGTAAAAACAGAGAGAACCCCGCTCAAATTTATATTTCTACACATAACACAAGCTCCTGCTGCAGTTAACAAATAATATTTATTATATAAGACCACGTAGTCCTACGTCACCAATGCACGTGCAACCCCATAGGGCTGTCCCTTGTAGTTTTTTTTTTATGATGCGATGCTTTCATAGATCAAAATGTCATGATTACCTGCGATTTGTCAATGATGTAAATATTTACACGTCGTACATTGAAGAATTTCCGGAAACTTATGATTGAGAATGTTATGATCAATGTTTCTGAGCTAATGGTCCCCTCCAAATAAACGCCCCTGGCATTAGCCCACCTTAGCCCTACGAAAAAGATGACGCCAAGTTGATGGTTTTCGTGTACCGAGTCACATTTCAGAAAACCCTAACCTCAAACATTTCCCACTAAAAACGGTTAACAAACCATTATGCACAGCAACCCACAAAAAGATCCTTCGAGCCGGATTTGAACCAGCGACCTATGGATCACTGATAACTTCTGAGCAGAACGCTCGTCATCCACTACAGTCCACCGCTCTACCAACTGAGCTATCGAAGGCGATGTGAAGCCAACGACCCGCACGCCAACGATTTATACTCGTTCTTGCTGTGTGTTACGAAAACTCTCAATTTCATAAGTGAGTCGTTTTTTTTTTCCTATCTCGCATTCCATTCTCTTATCTATCATTAAATTTATTAGAAGGTAGCCCGAGTACGAAAGCCGCTCGACACGCTCGCGGAACAATATGAAAATATATCTTTCTTCCGCTTCATCAAATCATTCCGTTGGTTGACTTAATCCGGTAAATTTAACCACCCTCCATATTGCCATTAGTTAAATCAACAGTCATCTAGTCTCGGTGTTTGCGCTATGATTATTCAGTACCCCAGTGTGGGAATTGTTGATAAAGAAAGCACCGATGATCGACGTCATTTCGGTGGCCTAGTCGTCGTCGTTGTTTTCAGTTGTTTTCATTAGCGAGAGCTGGACAATAAACCAATCAGTCATCGAAGTTGGCTCAGTGTTATCGGTAAGTCAAAACCGAGCATTTTGATAAGGCGAATCTTATAACTTGCATAAGGTGCAGCAGCGGTAAGTTTATGTTGTGAGTCAACAAACTCGAGTAGTTGATTAAATAGGGTAGGTGAACCAGCTATGGCTATACGTTCTATAGAATTCCCATAGGTCATAATTGGAACACAGACTAATAGGAACGTATACCCATAACCGGTACACCTACCCTATACGTATTCCGCTTAGAATTTCCTAACCGGTAAGCTTGATAACGCGATGTTTGGGGGACTTGACTTGGATCAGTATGAAAATATGGGTCAGCTACAGATTACTTAAATAGGATGTAGTCACCAAAGACGGTAAAACCATTAGAACGACCAAAATGCAACCACTGCACTCTGACCATACAAAGCTCCCTTATCACCCTCCAACACTCCCGAACCCGTAGAAACTGATAACTTCTCCCTTACAATTGAGCTGTGTGATTGTCTGGGTGCCAGAATGTTATGATTACCTTACCGTTTTTCGACTTTCTGCATGATAAGAGACCTGGAGAGCCTTACTCAGTCAGTTGGTTGCCGACCACTCCAGAGCCAGCAAACAAAAAAGCAGATCGGCAACGACGTCGGTAGCCGCGTCTAGAAAAGCACGATTCGAGAAGTTTTCCGTTGTTTTCAACTGGGTGCGTGAGTGCGGAGTGCGGTCCCCGGCAATCGTTCATGTGAGTTGCACGTGCAGTACCTCTTTGATTGAGCAAATGTCGCTAATCGGAAAAGAAACATTAGAAGTACGACCTTCGGACTTTAGACCCGTCGAGAAGTAGCTATACTTACCGGCACGAGTCGGGTTATTTATCTTCGTAATTGATTGATTGTTCATGCAAAAAAAAACTAGGTTCATTATCGAAGCCCACTCACAGGCAAACTTGTTGTTCCTCAGTTACCAAGGTTATTTTGTGAAATATTGTGGCACCAGCACTAAACCCAAGGACGCTAGTCAGACCAGCGAATTTCGACCTCGAGTGATGCCAGCGAGAAATGACACTCGGAAGCACAATATGATAATTGTAAATCATAACCGTCATTTTTTTTTTCACTTTGCTTGCAGACGTTATCATTGGGAAAACAATAGATCACGATGAGAGAAATTGAGTGGGCACCATTGAATGTGCCCCTGAGGCGGCGGCTCGAAACGCTCTGCGCCTTTGGATGGATGAGCCTCTTTCTGTTCGGAGAACTGTGGATGTTGATCTACTATTTCTATTTGCTGGTAAGAGTTTCCATTGTTCTTCGGTTGAAGTAAGTAAGCATTGTCTGTTGATCTACAACACTCAGATATTCGGAGGACTTCTGGCAAAGACATTCTGCGTCATCTATGGAGTGTTCATCTACGTCGATCGGAAAGCCGGGGTCAACGGAGGACGAGGACAGGGGTGAGTGTAATTTAGATTAATACGTAATTTACGAGATATTTCGTTGTGAGAATTAAAATTTATTGATTTGATATACCTACCTATGTGTAGTGTACACAATCGAGAGCTAATTAGTGCATTCAATCAGTGATAAGCTAAATATCTTATCGATATGATGGTGCATTTAACCGTTAGTAACAGTTCAAACAATGGACCTTGCTTCTTCAATTTCAATGATTGGTTTTACAAAAAAATCAGTCCCAAAAATGCAAAAAGTGTGATAAAAGTGCGCGTTTCCGTCAAATCGTTTTTAAGTCTTCGGAGCACTTATTGCTTGCATCATAAGGAATAAGTGCACCCAAGACTTCAAGACAATTAGACGTAAACTAGCAGTTTTATCACACTTTTTAATAAGTGAAAACGCGCTTACAATTTGGTGTGAAACGCGCAATATATGGCCAAAAGGGGTTTCTACGACAACATTGGTCACTCTCGTACATATTCTAGACCATAATCGACCCCATCAAGCGACAAACAGTCAACTCTCGCTTACTCAAAAGTGAAGAGATCAACGAGGGGCACCTCCCATATCTTACACACTTGTGACCCGTATGCGAAATTATTTGTAAAAAAGTCACTGTTGAAAGATAATCACATATTTTTCTCAGCAAAAATAAATGTCGTAAAATACAGTGAACTCCCTACAACTCGATGCCCATTAACTCGATATCGAGTTGTAGAACCATAGTAAAAATGAATTTCATGGCTACCAGTGTTGGTAAAATCATCAATTAAATTATGTTTTTCCACTCTCATACGCACTCAATATCACGCGTGATATTGAAACAAAATATCATGCTTTATATTGATTTTACAAGCTCCTTTGATATTGCGAGACTATTCACAACATGCAAAAATCAAGCTGAGAGTTGACTCGACACAAAAATGATTCCGTTGCACATCGTTTTCTTAGAAAAATAAAGTATAGTTTTCTATCTCTCTTTATCCTTCGTAGGGTTACCATATCAAAAACTTGAAAAGGAGGACATTTCGTTTTAGGTTTAGAGGTAAAGGAGAACAATGTGTCCTTTTCTCGACATGAAAGGAGGACAACGAATTTTTCATAACTTGTAGTCGTTATCAATTCAATTCATCTGAAAATGCTAGTTAATTTATTTTTTATACTAGAAAATGATCTAGTCCAGCTGTTCTGCATGAAAACTACAGCTTTACAGCCTTAAAACCATCCCAAATTTTATCATGTACAAAAATCAGGATACATGCCATCGCTGATTGGAACCAACATGAAAAGGAACATCTAAGCAACCTGTAAATTTTACCATTGATTCAGCATAAAACTCTTAACCAATACCTAAAATCCCCTAGAACCAGAGCGTCAAAATTAAACACATGTTGCCATGTTGGATTGCTGTGTTTCATTTAGTGAATTTTCACTTAAATTTTAAAGATGGGAAGTTTTCAAATAACCCTGGTATTTCATCAGACTTATTTTTGACAGACAAGCAATCCATTTTGACAAAAACCTGCTCGAAAATCGGCCAAACAACACGAGAGGGATTTTCGAACATAATAATATATTTTCGAAATTTCAACATTACATGAAAATACCTAAATTGTAACACAGTCTAAGGCTCTAACAACACTATCAGGCAGATGATTTTTTTTCCCTATTTGATGGTAGTGTTAGTATGCGTGGGCGAACTACCAGTTACGCCAAATCGACGATCAAATGCATTGTTTACAAAAGCTGATACGTCCCTTCGAAAACTTTGAACGAATCGAAATTTGGTGAATTTTTACTCAAATTTGTCACTTCGAAAATAAATTATAATGTTAGTAATTCTCTCTGTTGTTCTTCTTCTTCCTCATCGCATTTCAAGCTTATTTCGTATGGCATATTAGCTTTTTGCGTGCTCTCAACTTAGTGTTCTAGATGCACTTCCACAGTTATTAATTGAGAGATTTCGATGCCTGTACCATTTTTCCATTACTATAATTGTGTGGCAAGTACAATCATACTCTATGCCCAGGGAAGTCGAGAAATTTCCAACCCGAAACATTCCTAGACCGGGCCGGGAATCGAACCTAGCCACCTCCAGCATGGTCTTGCTTTGTAGCTGTGCCTTTACCGGCTGAGCTAAGGGAGGTCTCTCTGTTGTTGATCATCCTAACTTCGAGGAATTGTTTGTCAAAATTGATCACTGGTCTGTCAGAAATAAGTCTGGTTTATTTACTAAAATTTCATTTGTCAAATTTAAGTGCAAATTCACCAAATGAACCACAGCCTAAATGTAGGGGGGTTGACAGCTGTAGTATATTCCTGATCCCACTATTGAATGGTATTTGCTATATAAGCTGAGGTTGCGACATAATTAAACAAATATTCTCTGCAAACAACGATCTTGAAAATAATTTTATAAATTTGTTACGGAAAAATTATTAAAAAGGAGGACATTTTCGGGCAAAAGGAGGATGTAGAAAAATTATTGAAAAAGGAGGACATGTCCTCCTTTAGGATACCATATGCTAACCCTAACTCTTCGCCGATGGCAGACACGAAGCTACTGCTGCCAGCAGTGACGGTAGCTTCGGCCACGTAAAGCAAAAATCATGAAACTCAAACTCAACACAGTTTGTTTAGAATTGTAAAGGCTGACTAAAAGTAAATTGGTGCGCACAAAAAGACCTGTAATTCGTGATTCAATAAGTTTTAAAAGTCCATTAATGGTTGCTTTACAGTATTTTTATTAAAACTTCAAAGTTACATTCTCCAGTTCGAACGAAATCTTGAACCTTCCTCTTGATGGAGCCCATGAGCGCCCGCACGGAATCACCGCATTCCTTTCATTTTGCTCGCATTTGCTGGATGTCCTTGACTGCCCCACCGCTTCGTCGAAGTCGCTGCTTTGAAATTGCCCAGTATTTTTCGATTGGTCAAAATTCCGGGCAATTCGGGACAAAATCGATCTTGTTGGCAGTATACCACTCTAGAACCACCTTGGAGTAGTGGCAGCTGGCCAAATCTGGCCAAAGGATGACTTTGCCCCTATGCTTGCGGATGAACGGCAATACACGCTTTTTCAGTCATTCTTCGATGTAAACATGGGATGTCATCGTCGAGGATGTGACGAATGGTTCCGTTTTCAGGCCACAACTGCAAATCGCTTGCCATCTCATGGCCTTCTTCGCGAACTTGTCGGCAAACAAGAACTTGAGTCTTCCCGGCACATCCCCACGTCCAGTTGTGATGTAAAACTTTTACCGGGAAGCTGCTTAAAATCGAGTTTGACGTATGTTTCGTCATCGTATAACGTGCAGCCCTTGTATTTAGTCAAAACAAGAGTCTTGCACGCTTTTTGACAATGGAATTCTGCTGCATATGCCGGTTCGGATGTTAACTGGCTTTGTACGACTTGTATGCTTCCCTGGCAAGCATGTTCCGCACCGTTTGAAAGTTGGCGTTGTACCTTCTTGCCGCATCTCGGATCGATAGATCGGGGTTGGCTTTAACGCACCTCAACACCTTGCTGCGCAGTTGACGATCCCTGGTTCCAGTTTTTTCGTAGGTTCGCTGATTCCTTTACACACTCAGGGTTTCCTTGTAGGTTTTGAGCACTCGACAAACTGTTGTTTTCGGCATCTTCAGCACATAAGCCAACTTGGAACCGGACCACTCCGGATTTTCCAGGTGTCTGTACACAATATGTTTTCTTCTTTCGAGTTTCATTTGACGTTATTTCTGAACGCGATTGACTACCTTAAACAAACCACTGTCAAAGATTTCCGATCCCCAACACTAGAGGCGTGCTAGCGGCGCGCGAGAGGCGTACAAATTTACTTTTAGTCAGCATTTAGCTGGTGCTTGTGGTGGGATTGTGATTCTACAACTCAATAATTCTATAACTCGGTGGTCCCTTCAATATCTCGTTGTAGAGAGTTCCTAAGGGTTCGACTACCTGAAAAAACCTGGAAAATCAGAGAATATCAGGGAATTAATTTTTGGACCCGGAAAATCAGGCAATCTCAGGGAATTTAATTCAAATTCAGGTAATTGTTTCTTAATCACATAGACCTATTGATAAGAATGATCGATTTCGATAGTTTCAAACATCTTAATTACTCGGTGTAGTATGAAGATGGTTGTTCATTTCTAATTTTAAATAGAGTTGCGAACTTGTGGTTGCATTTTTGCGAATCGATTATTTTGGGCCTATCATAAATTCAGCTCCCAGTGGGTGTTGGCACATTTCTGAGTTCAACTGAGTTCCTGAGGGAATATGATTTGGACTTGAAGAATACTTTGAAGCCTTGATAAATCTTACAATATTATTTGGGTATGGATGTTTCAAAAACTTCGAGTTCAAAAGTTCAGAGAGTTCTTTTAATTTCTCTAAACTTTAAGGATCTTTACTAAAATTCCACAATATTAAAGGAAGTTCTGAGAATTTCTAGGAAGTTTCTTAAACAGTCTGTGGGAATATAAGGAAAGTTCCAAGAACTTCTGGAAAAGTTTAGAGCTCTTCTAGGAAGCTTAAAAAATTTCAAGTCCGTTCCATTAGCTTGAGGAAAACTTTGAAATGTCAGAGATATACTTCAGGGATATTCGGAGAGCTGCCAGGAAGTTAAGAAAACTTTTGCGTTGTACAGAGAACTCATTGTAAAAACTGTAATGGATATGGGTCATTCCGGCTCAAGTGGGTACAGAATTTTAAAAAGTTGTGGTCGATGTCACCGATTTGAGCCAAACTTGGCCAAAATGCTTATTTTGGCATTCTGAACAAACGCCTTTTTTGATTTTGCTCTAAACTGCCTAGATCCTTTTGGGGTTACAACCCTGTATATTCGATATTTTTAAAAATTTCAACTTTCAGAAGAGATTACTACACAACTAAATAAGCTATTCGTGATCTTAGAACGTCAATTTGAAGGGTTTGTAATTTAAATTATTATAAATGTACGAATATTTTGTTTTTGTTATAGTAACTACAGTAAACAGACTGATTACCGGCAGGTATCGAAATTGTTAAAAAATGGCCTATTTTTACCATGGGCGGAATTTTTTTATTTTTTAATATTTCGAGCTCAAATTTTCACCACACCTTGGAAAACTCTCGTACTTGATGTGTTTCCAAGGGTAAATGATTTGGGCAAATAGTTTTTGGGATATGACCAGATGAGTGAGTGGTAGTTTTGAGCTTTTTTGGTGGAAAATCAATACCATTTTTTTTTTCTTGAATTTCGACCTTGAATTCTTCAAGTTTCGAAAAAGTCGGGTAAGTTGCAAAAATTTCAGTAAGCTTTCGATCACCTGTAAAATGTTCCAGTAATTTGAGGGAAGTGCAGTTTAAATTTTTTTCGGTTATTTCCATTAATTTCAGTGCTTCAGAGAAGTATTTCAGAAGAATTGCGAGAGCTTCAGGAAAGCTCCAAGATCAATAGAAAAGATCAGAGTACCTCAGGGCAGGTCAATTGCCATTAATTGAATAACAGGATTTTCAAAGAAGTTCTGACCCAAGTAACCTAAATTTCCGCATTCAACGATAAAAACCCTATTTCAAGCGCCATAAAGTACATGCAAAGTTCTAAAACAACTTTCTGGCTACTTTAGAAGCTATTTAAAGCCTCCTAGAACTAAGCACTTATTAAGAACTTCAGGCAAGGCTGAAAACATGGCTACAACAAAGTTCCGAATAAGTTCCAAGCGGAACTTCTTAGCAACTTTGAAGTATCTTAAAAGTTCCCTGCGGAACTTCTTAGCAACTTGGAAGTTTCTAAAAAGAACTATGGTCCACATGACGCAATCCACATAAGTATTTTTTAGGAACAAAAATTGACAAAATTCTTATATTTATGCAGTGCATTAATATTCAATCCAAACATAACAAAAAATAAAAAGCAATTTCCTGGATTCCAACCCGTTTATTCGGCTTGCGCCACATTAAGGAGGTTTTCTGCCTGAGGCTGGTCGCCTTCATACATATAGAAGGTTACTGTCTTGGGCAAAGTTGTTCAGTAAATCAAAACCTAATGATTGGTGGACAGAAGTTCGGAATTTTCTCACTACGAGGCGCTAGTGTGCATGAATTAATTATGCCCTTCCTTGTCATCTAGGAAGTTGCTTTCTTTGGCGAAGTTGTTCAGTGGATCAAGACCTTATGGTTGGTGGACAGAGGTTTGAAATTTCCTCACTACATCCTCCGAATAGCGCGGCGGGTTGTACCATTTTCCCATCACTATTTCTCAGTTGTCCTCTAACCAATCCAATAGATTAATTGTAGATGACTAATTTAGAGTACTATAGCACTAGTCTACGATACGACAGGCTTGGGTGATGTCTTCGAGGTTGCGTAGAAGTGAGTCGATCAGAACTGTTTCGACGATGTTATTTCAAGGGTGGGAGTGAACTTTCGTCCGTTCGAGTACTGGGTTTGATTTTGCCGTGGAGCATTTTACTGGCAGCTGGTGAAAATTTCGTCCACTGTACCATTTCCATATAGGTTGTATTGCAGTTTCTCTTCCACTGCCCAATTCGCTCTCATTCTAATGAGAATGAAGCTTAATATTTGCCATGAATAATGGTCATGAATTAGATAAATTGAAAATGTAAACACAATCACAAAAGTCTAACTTCAGGGTTGTCAAACTCATGGGATATTGACACCTTGATTGATACTCTTCGGCCTACATCAGAATGATCGGCACAACGCTTGGCACAGCTTTCGGTACTTCCGAAACTCTTGGCACAGATTAGGGTGTTGCATTGTACTCCTTTATCTCCAAACCTCATATGAAATGTCCTCCTTTTCAAGTTTTTGATATGGTAACCGTAGCTATGGTACGCTTTTCAAATTACGGACTAGTTTTTTTTTAAGAAGATAAGCATGCAAAGTTGCTTAAGTAGGCTAAATATGTACACTAGACTGATGTAAAATTTGACTTTTTCGCTCCACAGTGCTTGAATGGTTTCAAATCGAGTCCTGATTAGCCTCCCAAAGTTACAACTCATTTGGTTAGAAACAGACTTCGCACAAGCCATTTGAAGTTTACATGTAAATTACTATGGGAAATCTCAACTTTTTGTTCATTGTCTTCTAGTTTTTTTCCATATTGAGCTGCGAAACAGCTCAACAGCCATTCTTATAGAAAATTTTTTCAGTTACAACTTTGCTGAAGATTGTTTCTATGTAAAACAAGACAGGGAAAAGTTATTAATTATTTAAGAGATTGGTAAACTTATGACATGATCAAGCAGCTGCTCTGTAGGCAACACTGTATTTTGCAGTGTGACATAGTAGCCATGATTTTTGTGTCCTATTCAACGCCCCGGAAACACCAATGTTGCCTGCTGAGCAGTTGATTGAGCATGATAATAAGACACCAGCGCATTGGACCATTGATAACTTTCGATCCTTGCATTTAATCAAAAAGTGATCTTCAGCAGAGTTGTAGCTGGAAAAATTTCCTACAATTACAGTTGAAAACTTTTTAAGCAAACCTATATGGTGAATTATAAGATAGACAAGAACAAAAATCTTGGTTTAACCATAGTAATTCCCATATAAACTTCAAATGGTTTGTGCCATCTCAGTTTCTCACCAAATGGGTTCAAATTTTGAGAGGTTAGTCAGGATCCGATTTGGAATAGATTAAGTACTGTGGAGCGAAAATTTCAAATTTTGCATCACTCTAATGTACACCCACATCATTCCATTGAAATCTGAGTTGATTCTGCTAATCATTTGTCGAGTTGGCGTGAAATTTCTCCATAGTAATTTCCATATAAATTTCAAACGGTTTATGCCAAGCCAGTTTGTTACGAAATGAGTTCAAATTTTGGTAAGCTTTTCAGGATTTGGGAACTTTTTTTCTTAATTTTAATTGATCCTTGAGCTCATATCTATCAATACTAATCCACACAATATAACTTCCCGAAATTCGTCCATTCCAGAGTCAAATGGTTCCGCAACCTGTACTGTTGGAAGCTGTTCCAGACGTACTTCCCCGCCAAACTGCACAAAACGGTGGATCTCCCGGCTGATCGAAACTACATCTTTGCCGCCTTTCCGCACGGAGTATTGAGGTAAGTGACAAAGTCCATGTTCTCCCTTTTCGCCATCCAATCGGTGCTTCAAATTATTATCAACCATCAACGCCCTCCCCTTCCACTTCCTCAAGCATGACGAAGAACAATGCCTGCTTTCATTATCGCAGTTGAGTATTTATTTTTCTTTTGTGTTCGTGTGATGGTCATAAATAACTCAATATGGGGTTAATTCATTGTATGGGGTATTCTCGTTTATTTTTGCTATTCACGTGTGATAAGGATTGTCAAAATCTGTTTGACGACACAAGGTAGCTTACGGTGAACGGCGCGATGTCTTGAGAAAGTAAAAAATTGCATGTGTGAAATTGCAGCAATTTACCTACCACAGCGCATCTCGAACAAAACAATAATCGTTAAATTTCACAGCTTGCCAGTAGCTTATGTTTTCAGTTGGCTTTTGTTTAGGCTGTTTACGGTTTACTGTTGATAAGAAAATTATACGTGCCAAATTCATCGAGATGCTCTATTTGGTAAACAACATTCCATGATTAGGAGTTCCGGTTGTTTCGACAACATTGTATTTTAAACCAATCGCATTATTCGCATTCCAAGCCATTCTACTGAATGCTCATCTGCTATGAATATTCCAAAATCCTTCCAAAACCTGTTGCCTGTTTCACGTCCAAAAAGTGCATGTGATTGTCATGAGTCAATGGCCATACGATACAGTGATTCTCAGTAATGTTCGGCACCCGAGTTTCCCCAACCGTAAGTATTGGAACTGTACTATCCTTCCAAAGAAACGTCAAATTCATCCGCACCTATCATATGGTAATGGTTAACGCTCATTGGTCACAAGCACATCCAAGCTCACGAATCGCACTAAACTCCAAAGCTTCCATTTGTTGCAATTTTGCCCATTCCAGCACCGGAACGTTCCTGAACTTTGCCACCGACACGACCGGTTTCTACAAGCTGTACCCGGGTATCCGATCCCGGCCATGCACGCTCAACTTCCATTTTGTCATTCCGTTCTTCCGGGAGATCCTTCTCAGCTGGGGTCTCGCTTCGTGTGCCTCAAAAAGCGTCATGTCCATGCTGGCGGCTCCGAACGATCCAAACCATCCGAAGAACCGCGATGGATTCACTGCTAACGCCGTGGTTCTGGTGGTCGGTGGAGCTGCCGAGTCGCTGCATTGCCGACCGAACAGCTACCGGTTGATTCTGAAGAACAGAAAGGGATTCTGTAAGATTGCCATCAAGGCCGGTGCTTCGGTCGTGCCGGTCATGCACTTTGGCGAGGTGGACCTATTCGATCAGCCACCGAATCCACCGGGCTCGAAGCTACGCAACTTCCAAGAGTGGGTAAAGAACACTACCGGTATCGCCCCTGCGGCATTCCGAGGCCATGGATTCTTCCAGTACACGTACGGGGTGATCCCAAGGCCGCGGCCTCTCAATACAGTCAGTAAGTATCGTGAAATCTAACCTTAAATGAAGAGTCGACTAAACCCGATCAACCGTTTCAGTTGGAGCACCACTGCACACGACCAAGAACGAAAATCCAAGCCAGGCCGAAGTGGACGATTTGCACGAGAAATTCTGCAAGTCGTTGGTGGATTTGTTTGAGAAGAACAAGTCGAAATTCGTCGTGGACTACAAAAATGTCCATGTGGAGCTAGAGTGACGGCAGGAGGGGGAGACTTAGATTAGAATAACCAATTGAACAAGAAAAATATTCCAAAGTTAGAGTGTTCTGCTAGTCGCAACCGATTGTGTTGCAAAGGAAACGGTGCCATGGGAAACAAATTAGAAAGATGTTTACCATGTCTTTTAAATTATATCTATTTTACCTTCAAGTTTTAAGTTCTTGGTATTTTATTGTAACAGATACATATAATATCATATTCCAAAGCTGGGCGTTAGAGTGGCTCAAAATTTCACTTTGGCAGGAAACCTGGCTGCTCACCCTCCAAATGATAGCAAAGGCTGTTAAAGGTTGAACACGAAAAAAATCCGGACACATTAAAAACGCTAATCGCAGGCATTTTTTGAGTTTTTTTTTTTTTTTATATTTCACTAAATCAAGCTAAGAGTGTATAGACTCACAGTAGGCATTGGTTGTCAGGATAAGTTCATTTGTTTACATCATGGCTTCACCGGAGCAAGCATGTCGTGATCAGATCCTGCACGCTCGAAACTAAAATCCTGGTCTATCCATTTTCCTGGGCAGGAATTGCATATCTCGGTTGACCGGAAGAATCTAAAATCAAAAAGAAGTCTAAATTCCCCAAAAAGTTCCTTACCAGGAGGAAACTACCGCCTTTTCTGGAGCAGCATGAAGGGGGATTGCTTATTCTGGCCGGACTTGGCAAGCTGCCACTACTCAAATTCCACCAAACAGTGGTACAGCGAAAATGGCCGGCCAATACTCCGGAACTAAGGCCAATTGAGGAATACTGGTCAATTGTGTAGTACATTCTGAAGAAAAAGGGTGGAACTGCAATTGACCTGAAGGATTTTAAGCGGAAGTGGAATTTGGCAGCCAAACAAGTGGGAACAGGGCTCGTGCAAAATCGTGATTATTCCGTGTTCAACCTTTAACTAGATGTGTTCCGAAAGAAAATCTCTCTGTTGATAAAACTTCTTCGAAATTCTCGGAATTTACTATCAATCCTCGTTACTTCTATTAGGTTCCCAAAATTTTCGCAATGTTAATTGGACTGCTCTGAAGTTCTTTAAGTGGCTCTGAATTTTTTGAAACCTCACTAATTTGTCCCACTTCTCGTGAAACTGTCCTGAAATTAATGGAATTGATTAAGATCCCTGAATTTCTCGGGACTTTCATTAACTTCAGAAAAGATGCAGAAACTTCGAAGAAGTTTGAGTACTTCAAGGATATCTAAAGAATCCAGACAACTTCACAGCAGTACAGGTAACTTGTGGAACATAGTGGGAACATTAAAAAAAAAGTTTCAAGAGCTTGAGAAAGCTTATAGATCTTCAGAGAAGTTCCAAGAACTTGATGGTAGCTCCATCAGTTTCAGACAACTGCTAATTTTTTTAAGAAGTTCCAAGATCTTCAAGGTAGTTCAGACAAGACGATTAAAGGAATTAAGGGCTATTTTGTTAACATTAGAGTACTTTGGGGAAGAACGGATAACTTTAAAGAAGTTGCAAGAACTTGCAAGAAGTTTCAAGGAAGTATTTCTGTAAAATTTGCTTAAAAATTTCGATTTTTTAAGATAAATTCGAGTCGTAATGAATAATAACAAGCACCTGCCGATATTATCCGATTTCATACACTATTCATCGATAATCTTGGATGTGGTAGAATTATCGAGCATTATGCTGATGTTGTTTTTAGTGTGTTTTGTGATGTGAACTGTCACTTTCTTGAGCACCTGCTTTTGTGATTATTGCATGTTCAAACTCTGAAAGCAAACTGTTCACTCACATAGTAAAACCATAGAGGTAAATCTAAGACCAGAAGGTCTCGAAGAAACGTGCTCAACTTTTTGGCTCAGCTCTGGAACTCCCTTCGGTCCCAAGCTAATCGATGCACGCCTCGAAACATAGGAAAATCCACGAACCCCTGATTTTATCTGTCAAACTTTCATAGTGAATCAAAACAAACATAGTGTAGTACTAGAATTTAGACTAGAATGGCGTAAGTTAATCGATTTGCTTGTGACCAATAGGCTAGTCAAGTAGTGAGCCAATTTCCAATCGTTAGTTTCCACCGGTTGGTAATAGCCTGGATGACAAAAGCTATCAGCAGCTACTTGGTGAGGTATACAAATCTAACAAATAGGATGCGTAAAAAATATCATGTTTTTTTTTATTTTCTTGTATGAAATAATGTAGATATAAAGCATTCATAAGGCTTTCATTCGTTTCTATCGAAATGGGTAAGGTTTACTCAGATGACAAACGTCATCATCTAAGTAACCGTTACTTAGTTTCCTCCAATTTGAGTAAAAACATGTTTACCCAATTTTTGATACTTTTTCCCAGTCTTTTGCAAACTTTGTAACGGAATCCACTGCCTTTACATGTTTCCGCAAATATGCTTTGGTCAGGGCCCAAAAAGTTTCGATTGGCCTGGCCTGGGCACAGTTTGGCAGTTTGGTTTAAACACTCATTCACGTAAACATCGGTTGTCATTGTCTCCGTTGTCACAAACGGTTTGGAAAGCACACCACACTCACAAATGGTTTGCTAAACCATAGCTTTTTTACCGAATTTTTCGGTGAAAATCGACTTATCCGCGTCGTCAAAACTTCGGTCATCACGAACGGTGTAGTACTGATCACCAGGAAGAGTTTTGTAATCAAATTTAACGTAGGATTCATCGTCCATAATCACGCACACCGATTTTCCGCACAGCAATTGGTCGTATAACGTCCGAGTCGGTTTGACGGATGTAGCTTGTTTTTCACTCCGCTTTGGCTTCTTCTTATTCTTATACGTATTTAGACCCATTCTTGCCTTGGTCCGCTGGACGTTACTCTTCTAGAATCCCACCTTTTTAGCCACGTCTCGAACCGAAGCACTTTTCTTGCGAGTGAAAGCTTTCACGATATTCCGGTCCTGATTTGGGTCAACAGAATTCGGTTTACGTCCAGATTTTTATTTGTCCTGGAAAGTTGCCTCTTCACCATACTTCCGAATCGCGTTTCGAACGGCTCCGATGCTTACATCTTCCAATTTCGCTAATTGACTCAGAGAAATAGGAAGGTCCATTAATTATGTCACGCAAATTTGGCCCATTTTCAACCCCCCTCCCCTCTTTGTCACATTTTTTGTTAGGACCTTAATTTTTTTATGGCTCGTCACAGTTTCCAAACCAACCCCATCCCCTTAAATGTGTGACATAATTAATGGACGATCCCAATGTTGGGAATAGTACACCATTTGTGCACGACCTGTTTGCGCTTTTCCGGAGAAATGCTTCGCATTGTCATGGAAATGTAAAGAACCGTTACTTGCGATGCACGAAACTGTTGGCCTAAACGTAAACAATGATTCAGCGTGATAATAAGCTGTTTAAACGTCATCTGAAACAAGCAGGGGTGTTCCAAAGTCATGCTTAGACATTCTGGGACACCCTATACCCCGAATACGTCAATACGAATACGTAATCAAGCTCAATGGAGGAGGTTCTAGATGAATTCATTGGAGATTTTAGAAGCTGCCAACGAAGGTTTCATACGATTTCGACGGATTTTGTTGACGTTTTCGGCGGAGGAGGTTCCAGTAAGAAGAAAAGTAGAAGCACAAAGGCAAAGGTGAACGATTTCTGATGTCCACAATTCATATGAAAGTCAGGATTATGATAAACCGTTTGCTTTGAAATGTCCATTAATTTATTTGATACGGCTGAACCGAATTAACTTTACAGAGCCGAAGATTCATGTTCACTATACAATACATTTTAAAACTATAGTCAAAAGGTAGAACACAATAAACATTTTATCTTCTGCTATCCAATAAGCCACTTGCCGGGAGCCACTTCCAGTGGTTTCATTGTATGGCAGATTCGCCAATGAGGAGCAGAGCGCTTCCATTGCAACAATGGACGCAAAACGTGGTCAGCACTCACACATTCATCACGAAACGGTTGCTGTCCAACGACGCATCGACTGAAAGAACTGCTGATGACGAACAAAGAGGAGGACCACACAATTGTTGCTACCGAATAAACAGACGATCGCGTGACACACATTGAGAGTGGTCTGCTTCTGTTAATAGCCGAGTGAACACTCAAACCGTTTGCTTTCATTTGCGACAAATTACAATGTGACAGCGTTTGAGGGGAAGACAACAATCATGAAAATATTACTTTTCAAGCAAGTAGGCTTGCAAATCAAAATCGTCTCAGTTCGCACTTCCCAGTTCAAGTCGAATTTCCTATGGCCGATGCCATAGTGAGAGTGCAGGGAAGCGGAGAAACGAGCGAAGCGTTGAATCGAATGTAAGGATAAATATCAATAAAGTGAATTTCCATTAATGATATTATTCCTTACATTCGTTTCAACGCTTCGCTCGCCTCTTCGCTTCTCTTTGCTCTCACTATGACATCGGCCTATATGGAAAGCTCTGGGGACTTCTGACTAGAGTCCTACGTAATTCTGAGGGAAACTCCTTGTGAAATCTTGGGAATTTTTGTCAAGATTCCGATACTTTGAAAAATTGTCGTTGACTTAAGTTGCGAAACCAGACATCTAATACTATCTAAGATGTAGGAAAAAAAAGCTTTGGTGTTGTGAAATTCTCGCACGCTTAGTAGATAGAAGGAAGATTGATGAATATTTTGAAGATTTTCTGCAAAAAGATGGTGAGCGATGCGAGTAGATGGATGCAAGAGATGAAAAAAGATTTTTATAGCGTGAGATTTTCTGCTAGCGTGAGATTTTCCGACTATCTTAAATTGAGATTTAAATGTGTGGCACCCCCAGGTGTGGAGTTTTAGCCCGCACGTATGAGTTGGTAGAGGGAAAATGTAAATTTTGTGGGAGACGACGGTGGCGACGTCATAACACTCAAAAGCAACTTTGTGTAATATGAATTAAAACAAATCCTAGCTATGATTGTATGATGATTGCGCTTGATTGTATTGTTTTGTAAAGTCGCGGGAAATATCAACTGGTGGTTTTGTTATTTTTTTTTTGCGTAGAACTAGGGGAATTTACGTATTCTCGTCAATCTAATCAGCGTCCGCACTTCTATTAGCATTTTGTCAGCGTTACGCACATATATCACGTGTCTGTTTGTTAACATTCATCTGCTGCTTGCTTCTCTATCCATTCCAATCGACAGAATTTTTCAAACCGGTTTGAAAACGATTTTACAACGC